TATAGAAGGGCGCATTAGGAATTACTTTTCTTTTGGTCTTGAGTGCTGTAAATTCTCTTTTTCGATAGGTGGTGTTTGTGTTTATATTTAACATGAGGTTGCAGTATACCTTTGCCTTTAAAAAAAAATAAACATTTTGAACTTGGAAAGAGCTTTCATAGAGCTAATAATAGTTCTTTCAGGGGACAGAGGGGTCTAAAGGCAGTTTCCTTTGCCATTTTGTTCAGTAATATGGACTCTTCCTTCCCCCTTTCCAAGTAGTATAGTAAAAAGTTTTTGTACCGTTTATTCCTTATTCAGCATCTATTGAGTGTTCATTTGACTCAAAATATGTATTAGCCAGTGATTGTTACTACTTATTTCTGGTGATTATATAATTTGAATGGAAAGCCTTTGTTTAACTCAAGATTGAATTGTATATGCATAGGGATGTAGAATGAAAATTGTTTTAGTGTTTTTTAAATGTTCTGCTTAAATGAAAACAAATGCTTTCTACATTCACCTAACTTGGCTGGTACTTGTGTTTCCAGTAATTTCCAGGAAAATTTCCAGGATTTCTAGGAAATCCTTCCTGGCATTGCTCCAGAAATTTACAAGTTTTTCCAAATCTCAAGAGATACCAGTCAAGAAATCAGGAAAATGGGGGAAAACGTTAAGCTTAACATTCAACATAGAGTCATTACAGATTGAAGGAATCCAGATTACACATCACAAGCAGGCACAGGCAACACTGACGTAGGAACTGTGTCCTGGGGACCAGATATGGAGCTTTAGAGAGGAAACATCATGGTCTAAGCAGGCAGTCTTGGGTGTAGCTTTTGCCTTGTCTTGTAACTGGGAGTGTTCTTGCAAACAAATATTAATAAATTTGTGTACATACTATATACAAACTGTAAGAAATAATATCTTTTTTGTTTCAAGAAATAAGTTTTCTAAACAAAATAAATCCTTAAATTGACAGTATGACATGTGTTCTATTAACTTTTCTGGGAGAAACTAAAGTTACTTTGTTAGAGTACTTATGTTTGCCGGCTTTTTCCAATATTTGAATATTGACCATAGGCTACAGTTCTTTGTAAAGTGCTTTAATGGAATAAGACGTGAATGTAGGATGCTCTGACACAGAATCAGAAATTGATCTAAAATCAGGATTAATAAAAGCTGTATCCATTTCAATGGCAAAACCAGATTCTGGGCAATCAAAATATTTCCATTATTAAAAAGAGAAAGTTATCTGAAGCAAAATGTACCCTAACATCCAACTTGAAAGTGTTTTTGGAAGTACTTTTAACAGTTGGACCAGTTGACAGCAATGCAAAATGAAAGTTTTCTGTGCCTGGAATATTTGTCACAAATCAAAGATCAAGGTTATCAGGGCAATTTGGGGTGCCTGAGTGGCTCAGTCAGTTAAGCATCCAGTTCTCCATCTCAGCTCAGGGTGTGATCTGGCAGTTTGTGAGTTCGAGCCTCACAGCAGGCTCTGCACTGACAGCATGGCTGGAGCCTGCCTCCTGCTTTCTCTTTCCTTCTCTCTCCCTCAAAATAAGTGAATGAATGAATGAATGAATGAATAAATGAATGAATGAATGAATACCTTAAAAAAAACATTGTCAGGGCAGTTAATGCTTTGTGTACCTTCAAATGTCATTGTTAAGAAAAACTATTAAATGTTAAATATTTGTGGTATTTCAGTATTTGGAACGATTTTCATTTGGAGTATATTTTGTTTCAAGGTACCCTTTTAATATTTTCTGTTCTTGAATATCAGGTAAAAATCATGCTTACATTTTATTGAAATACGTAATCTTGTCACAACATATTGACTCATAGTAATGGTAAACCAAGTATTTATTACATCTTTTTGAAACAAATGTGTAAAACTTTTAGTGTAACCCTACTGATTTACTATCGTTATGATCACGCGTTATTCTTTTTTTCTTTAATCAGTTTTATTAAGACACAATTCACATACCATACGATCCATCCATGCAGGGTGTACGATTTGTTGTGTTCTAGTACATTCACAGGGTTGTGCAACCGTCATCATGATCCATGATCCGATTTTAGAATATTTTTGTCCCTCCTACAGAAACCCCATACACAGTAGGAGCCAGTCCCCGTTCCCCACTAGTCCTCCTCCCCCAGCCCCAAGTAACCACTAATTTACTTTGTCTCTTCATTTGCCTACTCCAAACATTCCATATAAATGTGGAATCATACAGTATACGGTCTTTTGTGACTGGCTTCGTTCACGTAGCATCTTTTCAAGGTTCATGCATATCGGAGCATGTATCATTACTTAATTTCCTCTTATTGCCAAATAATATTTCATTGTGTGTATATGCCACGTTTTATTTACCTCTCCTTAGTTGATGAGCCTGAAGGGTTGTTTTCATGGTTTGATTATTATGAATGATGCTGCTGTGAACATACATGTTAAGTTTTTGTGCGAATGTCTGATTTCATTTCCCAGGAATGGAATTATTGGGTCATATGTTAACTTTTTAAGGAGCTGACGAACTGTTTTTCAAAGTGGCTGCACCATTTTACATTCCCTCCAGCAAAGTATAAAGATTCATTTCTCTACATCCTCACCAGTATTTGTTGTCTCCTTTTTTTATTAGCCATCTATGAGTGCGAAGTGGCTTTTCTCCGTGGCTATGATTTGCATTTCCCTGGTGGCTAATGCGGTCGAGCCTATTTTCATGTGCTTATTGGCTCTTTGCATATCTTGTTTGGAGAAATGTCCAATTTTAAATTGGGTTATACTAGACCCATATGAGATACACAGTTTGCAGATATTTTCTCCCATTCTGTGAACTGTCTTCTCACTTACTTGGTCATGTCCTTTGAAGTACAAAAATTTTAATTTCATTGAAGTCCCATTTATCTTTTTTTTTTTTTTTTTTTTTTTT